GTAATATTTAATATTGAAAAAAAAATATCTCAATAATCAAATTTTCAAAATTTTTCACTTAACCGAAATATTATTGAGAGTGACAGTAACAAATTTAGCAAAGTTTTAAAAACTAAACTTGAATTAATTAATGACAACTTTGTGAAACTGTTAAATATTTATACAAGGCTTCTCTGACTGCTAAAAAAATTCTGGTGAATAATTTTTCAAGATTTTAAAAATAACAGTTTTAAGAACCAATAAGTTTTTGTTTTAACGAAAATATTTGGCAAAAAGGTTATATACTCGTACGTTGAAAAAGTAATCAAATATTTATTTTTTTTCACAAAGTGTTATGAAGTTTTTTAGCCAAATAGTACAATTGGTTTTAAACAAGTACTTATTGAAAATTTAAAAAAGTGCATTTAAAATGTCGCATAATATTTTTCAACATTCAAATGTTGTGGAAATAATGAAAATAAAAGTGATTACATACATACATATCGCACATTTAATAATATAATCCATTAGTCTAAACATATTCTCTTTTTCAAACTTATTAATTGTAAGATGAGATCTCCAAAAATGTAAATTATGCAATTACTTCTTATATTATTAAGCGTGTTTATGTAAGTTAAATATCATATAGACTTATTTTTAACATATTTTCCAGCATACAAAAAATTTTTAATTATTGAAAATTAAAATTTAAAATTTTGAAAGCAAAAGGTTATTTTCTATTAATTCAAATATTTATCAAAAATTTTAGAGAAAATTTTTTTAGATGAATTAGATGAATTCTACCAAGTATCCACAGGGTTATCCTTTTTTTAATTCAAAATTTTAAATTATTTACTCGAAGTTTTTTGCGATGGCTTAAAAAGTTGTGGCGTACATTTTTCAAGGCGTTNAAAGGTTATTTTCTATTAATTCAAATATTTATCAAAAATTTTAGAGAAAAATTTTTTAGATGAATTAGATGAATTCTACCAAGTATCCACAGGGTTATCCTTTTTTTAATTCAAAATTTTAAATTTTTTACTCGAAGTTTTTTGCGATGGCTTAAAAAGTTGTGGCGTACATTTTTCAAGGCGTTAAAAATTTAAAGATAATTTTTGAAAACCAATAATTTTTTTTTTTTTTTTTGTATTTAAAATTATCTCAATTTTTCTTAGCACATTTAGAATTTCAAAGAACAAATCTCACTGAACTTTGTTTTAATAAAACGCGGGAAAAGGTTATAGTATTTCCAAAAATCTCCACAAAAGCAAATAAAATGTTCGATATGTATAGAAGGTAAGAAATTGTTTAAGAGGCAAAAATTCAACGAATTGGAGAAATTTTAGTGAACTTCCGTCAGAAAAAAAATTTGAAAAAAATTTACAACTTAGAAAAATTTAAACAAAGAAAACTCACTAAAAACTAAAATAAATTTTTTTATTATACTTACGTGTTAGCATTTTTTTGAAGATTTAAAGTATTCACTTCTAGGAATAATTATGAAAAAAAATTTTAAATTATATTTTGTTTTTATAGAATCATGTTCTCAGAACCTTTTAAAAATAACCTTAAAAAATTTATTTCTAGGAATAATTATGAAAAAAAAATTTAAATTTTACTTTTTTATAGAATCGCCTTTTGTCATCAATTTTCCGCACTTCTACATTACTTTAAACTACGCAAAATAACAAACACTTCCTATTTCAATCTCTAAAACAAAGTCCTGCAAACAGCTTCATTTTCAGTCACACTTCCACTTTTGGATACGCACTTTAAACGATTTCCATTAATTCGCAAGTTCATTTAATATTTCATGAATATTTTACGCACAGATTTACTACACAAATATACTTTTCTACATCAAATTTCAGGTGCGCTACACAAACTCTCCACATTTTTTTTTAATAATTCATTGTATTCGTGCCACAAATTCTACTGCCCCAACAGTCGCTACAAATCCGTAAATCTCTACAAGTAATTGAGGATTTTCAGCTCTCGCGCTCTTCCAACACTGGAAGCTATAGTCACATTGCGCTCTCCCAGCGCCAAAACTTTCTCCTTGAACTGCCAGCTCACAGAAGGTGAATGGGTATTTCCCAATTTCTATGTACTTACATACGTATCTATGTACATTCATATGTATATACACCGAGACTGTTGAATGCTAACAAGTGGAGCAACAGTTTGCGCCAACAACAAGCATGAACTCACCTAAAACATACTGACACACAAACAGCCGCATTCAGCCATGTTTAGTTTGTAGGTACTTATGTGGAGCAGCAAGCAAAAATCTTTATTCAACTGCATTATATCCTACATACATATACGCGTACTAGTGGTTGTACGAGCGGTGAGGGTTAGCGGGTCCAGCCGCCACACACTTTTTCCCATGACTTACATGCTTTCTCTTTTAACTCTCTTATCAGTGTGGTACCGGAAACGTTGGATGAATGAACATTTGCTTGTTTTCCGCTACTTGCCATCATTACCTATACTAACGCAGGGAGGCTTTTGATATTGAATATGGAAAATCGCATGTGATTTGCTTTAAAAATTAAAATACCTTCAATTTTGTCTGGCTTTTCCAAAAAGGACTATCATATTTTTATTTAAAGTATTTAAGAAGCTTATGCCATTGAATTCAACCTCGTTTGACTTTTTTGCATTATACTACATTAGGATGTTAAGTTGGAGACCAATCAACGATATTTTTCAATTTCGAAAAGTTCTGAAGCCCTCTACTCTGAGATGTGACATTTTTTCAAGCTCAAAGTTCGTTGTAAAGCTTTAGACTTAGTACATTTCTTGGTCTAAATATAGTCCCGTAATCAGCTATTTATGTAGTCTCGGAGACGATTTTCTCATTTGTGACTTCAACAAATGACTACTCAAACTTAGCGTAGTATTGGACCTTTAGTTGATTAGAGCTTTCTGGGAGTAGGAAGAAGGAAGGAAGCAGGCTCAGGTCCAAAATAAACGCCGTAAGTACCATTAGGCTGACGTTAGAACTTCTAATGTTACAACCAAACCCGAAAGGGTTAGGCTATGTGGAATCCTATCCAGTCAAGTCTGAATCCATCTCTCGGTATGTCTTATTAAATTCGTAGTTTACTGGACACCTCTGAAAATAAGATGGTCGGTGCGTGAACTAAAGAGAATTTTCGACGTCCACGAGAATGAGTAGAACTCACTCGGAGCGAATGTGAGAGAGAAAAATGCGTCAAAGTCCTTACTGGACCCTGCCATATCGTCTACCACGCCAAAAAGGCAAGACGTCATCTACAACCACTACTAAAAATTGTCAAACGGGAGGACCGTTTTGGGAGAGTACTAGTACAACTCCGAAACTAAGTGGTCTAAATTATTACAACATAATTACTTATTGTTGTTGCTACTTAGGAACTTTGCTTAACCTGCATATAAATACTCAGCGATGCATGGGCTATGGCCGCACTTGGCTATTTTAAGACAAGGCTGGGTAAGTCAGAGATCTGCGGTGGAAAACCCTAAGAATTCCACCTCCAGGGAAGCTAGCCGTCACTGTAAACTATCTCGAGGGGATTCTTACAAAACGTTGCCTGTAACTCTGAAAGTACCCTATATAACGTACACAGAAGAAAGACCTAAATAGCAGCCAGACTTATGAGGTCGTGACATAAAATTGGCTACGAGGAAAGGAAGTCGGAAACGAATTAAGCTCAGTAGGTGGCTTTGAGGTATTTAGGAGTGCTACTGGACTGAAAGTTCTCTTGGAGTCCCCGCATTGAGTAACGAGTAAGAATGACCTTAACTTACTGGTGCCATGAAACCATATCTTATTTAGTAGTGATGTATGTATCCTTTTTAGTGTACCTGGTTAAAGAAGTATTAAAAAGGGTTTAGGTTGGAGATTACAGTTTCAAGAGAACTATTCTGACGAAAACACTTCATACACCTTTCCAATGCCTTCAATATTTTTGAAGAAAATTGTATCAACCTTTTCTAACCAAACGGTCTCATAGCTGCGCCCTAAAATGATAGCTAGGTGGCTCAAAGAAACAAATATGTTTAGAGTATACCTGAATTCTCCCTCGCCATTTGTTAGTACTTTCCGGTCAGCCTGATGTGGTTCCCAGGAAAAATCGACTTTTAAGAACACTGCTTGGTTGTTGAACCAACAGAAAGGCTCGAGGAGGCCTCTGCAGTCAAGACGGATACAACTAAAGGTTCCTTTGAGGTCTTGTTAACTGTTTGCCTCACAGACATACGAAGCTATAAAGTTCATATGGCTGATTATGAACCGTCGGTATTAAAGTGTGCCTTTTACTGAAGTGAAGCTATAACCCTCGACCTTTACCGGAGACTCGACAGGCAGAGCGGGACTAAGATTAATTACCTCGGCTATCAATCTTTCAAAACACAAGAGGAAATTTGGCGCTTTGGCGTCAATGACCTACCAATATTCCAAATAAAGAGGTGAATTTCTATTGGTTTAGCTCCACTAGGCGAGGACAAAATATTAAATTTTTCGAAAGGTTAAGGAATGCGAAGGCAGGACGGGCATTCGTTCTAAAATTAATCGTTTTCCTCACAGTGTCGGAAGAATTAGCCCATAAACAAGCCATCCTTAATCAAATTGATTAGGCTTTAAATCTTTGAGTTCAAAGCGAGTGCTAGAAGAGTACTGACGTAAGTTCGCACCGGCATAGTAATTTGGTGAAGATTTTTGTTTCGAGTCACAGAGACCAAAATAGGATGCACTATTACTTCCAAGTTAATGTTATTCAGTTCTTTGCGTTCAAAATGGAGTTCATCCCCAAGAGTTTCTCAAATACGGATTCAAAAAGACATCAAGAACATAAACTTCTTTGTTTTTCATTTATTTTCTATCAAAAACAAAATTCTTGTCTACTTCAAAGCTACACTCAACAACCCAGCTAAGATCCACATCAGCATGAAAGGTTTCACTAAAGTTCCTACACCATCTCCTGCACCTGGTTTNTTGTTTTTCATTTATTTTCTATCAAAAACAAAATTCTTGTCTACTTCAAAACTACACTCAACAACCCAGCTAAGATCCACATCAGCATGAAAGGTTTCACTAAAGTTCCTACACCATCTCCTGCACCTGGTTCAGTCGTAGGTACCGCAGTGGTGGTGGTTTCCTCTTCATTCCAACCAAGGTCATCATAATAGTTGCCGTAGATTGCAAAAGTCAAGAGATTTGTTGTATTTGTATTCGAAACGTAACGCACATGACGCGTACCACTGTAAAGTGAAAAGAAAAGAAGGCGAGTAATGAAATTTATTAGAGTGTTGAAAATTCTACCCAAACCAAGTCATACGTACTCCTCATTCTGCGACTCATCCCACTCGAATTCATTCACATCCAACGGCAGTAAATCATCACGCAAGCTATTCGGCATCAACAGCGATTGATTAACCGTTGGGAAGTCAGCTTCAATCATGATACGTGTAAAACCAATATGCCTTTTTTGTGTGACATTAGCCGCAAAAAGTGTACCACAATCGGTTATATTCGGTCCGGTGCAAGCAAAAACTGCACAAGTTCGTAAGGCATTCGTCGTCTCAGCGCCTGTTTCATAACGCCTGCCCTCAAAGACACCAACTCGGTAAACATAATGTTCCTCATCGGCAGCAAGAGGTGCAGAGTTTACATGATAAGGCCATAGAGTAAATGAGCAACAGAATTTTTTGTAACAAAGAGAGTACCACAGCATGATCACCGAACTATTGTGATTCACTTCCATGGTGTTATATTCTTCCATATAATCGCGTTTCAAGAAAATATCAGCCTGACTGAGACGCGGGGCTTGCTGTAATGCTGGCGTTGTACTCTTATGCTCTCTGGTAACTTGTAATCCATTCTGCGTTTGGCCTAATTTAGGTACTTGCGCGACGTAGAGTTGACGCACACCACTGCCCGTGTTCATAACGGATACCAAAGCACCTTCGCGACCTGCGTAAATGCCGGTACCCGTGGAGCCAACGGCTGGTCGGTTCGCACCGGCGGCCAGGAAGTTGACATCGTTTATGTAGGACCACGACTGTTGAACTTGGACGGCTGAAAGAAACGAAAGGGGATGTGTAAGTGTAAATTGGGAAATGCGCTGGACTTGGAACTCCTGGGTAGATGAGCGTTACTATGTCTTTATTGGTACAACAAGGTATCACTTAATTTGGGAAAGATCTTGCGGGAAGACGCCTTTGTGGATGGCGAAAACTCGGCGGTTACAAATGAAACGGAAGGATAAGGGACTTTAGATGAATCAAATTGAGAAGGGGTATTGATCTATGAGGATGTGGAAAGCTCAGAATTGGACAGCTCATGAGCAACTTTATGGAAATAAAATGGTAGACTGTGGGAAACTGTAGGCTAGTCAAGGCGAAGATGTTTTCCATAGAGAAGGTGGCTTGTCTCATACGGGATAGTAAGTCACTGTCAGGCAACGTGACTGTATTCGTTGACAGCCGGGTACTGACATTGAAAACATTAGTCTCCCGTGTATTAAAGTCGAAAGCAGTTCGGAATTGTTATACAACGATGGCTTCAGTGAGTCACGTCGAAACCCTCTCTGCTGGGTTCCTGGACTTAGCAATATAGAGGGGAACGAAATAGCCAATTCGATGTCTATATACGGCTCGGAAATGCAAATTAGCGAAGCGGATAAGTCCCTTCTTTGGATCAATCGGGACGACTGAGAGATTTCAAGATCCCTGTAGCCGAGACTCAATAAGAGTCGTACTGAGGAAGTATTGACACTAAGAAAATCTACAGTAAGGGCTCTTACCGGTGTCATAACAGGGCACTGTTCGTATACCAACAAACTCCCTCTGCAGAAGTTGCGCGATGAGGTTGAAGAGGAATCGATTCACCATTTCTTATGTCAATGCCCAGCTCTTCAAACAAGGCCATTGTTGTTGGCTTGTCTACCACTGTGGCGCACTCTGTCGACGGATACACTGCAGGTGCTTATGGGCGAGCCCCTTTTAATCTGGTGATCATAGCGCGAGCCGAACTTGACAGAACGCATATCGGACGGTGACTGGAAGAGGGACTATTTTGAATGAAAACGGATTCTGGAGGACAGGCATTTCGGTATATGGCAAGATCGTTGGGACAGTAGCCCCAATAGTCGTGTCACGTATCGATTCATTCCGAGTATGAAGTCTTTGGGTGAAAATCCGGACTTTGGGCTATGTCTGAATTTGGGGTTTCTTTTAACGGGTCACGGTCCTCTTAATGCTTTTTTGCACAAGACGTACCTCCATCCTCTGTGAAAGCTAGAAATGTTCGGACGTGAGGAATCTTGACAGCGTAGGAGTAAAATGGACGGTTGAACGGTACGACTTTAGTAGTCCCCTTCCACGGGTTGGACAACGACAAGTTTGGGGACTTTGCCCGAGAGGTGTTTAGGAAGCGTAGACGAGCAGAGCAATCTATGAGTTGATGCTCACCAATCCAATGTGGTATGGCATCTCAACTGGTAGTAGCTTCGGCTACGAGTTCTAACCGGAGACTTAATTCTGGTAGCATGGGAACAGAAGCCCCCAGACTTTACTCCGGTGTCTTCTTAGGTACGGTACTTCGGGGAGTATCGTGATGATTGTGGTTCAATATCCAAATGCGGGTAGAGTTGACATTTGTTTGCTCGATGTAGAGTTGCATTGCAACCGGATGCCGGACCCATAGCACGGCAGAGCATTAGATAGACCTCGAACCCTACTAAGGGGGTTAGTGTGTCCATTCCGCATTGCTTATTGGTACCGAGATGCTTGCATGTCGGATCTCTGCTCTACGGGAGATAGCGGAGGTGAGAATTCGAACCTCCACGGGATAGTATATGGTTTGACAGAGCTTATACTAACAGCTTGAATAGAAGGATGCGCCTCGTCCTCGCACACCGGGTGAAAGTACGCGCCTTTCTAACCTAACCTCACTTAACCCAACACTGTGGTCTCTACTTATTCCTAATAACCTTTGGACATACCAAATAAACCAAGGATCTCAAGAAGGAGAACTCGGCAATTTTCTTAAGAAGGTGGAAAGGTATAATATTTAGTGTATACTGGTTGTGGAATTTTCACATTTTAATAAAATAGATGAAAAGGTATAGAAAAAAGATAAAAGAGGGGCCTATATTCCACATGCCTATGCCAGTATTTAAATATGTTGAAGCATCTTGAAAGACACCACCCTTGATAAGAGACGATGATAGTTCAAATTCAGAGAGCTTCCTGCTGCAAACCTTCTCAAAAACCTGCTCTTAACTATTATCGAGGCGAGAAAAGAAAACTACCGGCATGTTTGGACCAGAAGATGTCGCCGCCAGATCAAGGACTATCTCATACCACTAGATTAGAAACAAAAGGAGAACAAAATGAAAGTTAATTGTCTGACTCTCTAACTGATATGGAGTATGAAAGTGCTTACTTGCCTCCGGTAAATATCAACCCAGTGGAATCAACAGAAAAGGCGCCATCCGTAGTAGCATTCAACGATGAGCTTAAAGTCCAAACTCTGTGAAAGTTCAATGAGCCAAGTATGCGAGAACTTCACTGTTTGATAAGTTTAGAAGCCTAATCTAATCTGGTTAAAACGATGACAAATCAGACACACAAAAAATATAATGATGTTTTTGCAAACTGGTACAACTTTTATAAAAAAGAAAGTACATTATTATCAGAAAAAGATAGCAACCTAATCAAATTGATATTTTAGACGTTCAGATATCACGCCACGCCATCTTCATACGCTATTTTGTTATATGGTGAGATACATACATACATATATGGGTCACAAAATCGATTCTTTGGTGCAGGGAAAAACAAATTTCTGTAGAGGTCTGACTGTGCCAGAGAGTGCAATATTCCTTGTCTGAAGCTCAAAAAGCTCCACTTGGGAGCCAACAGACTGTTCGCTATCCTCAAACATTGATCGCTCGCAGTGATTTGTAACCTCGTGAAAAAGAACAAGCTCACACTGGTACTCCAAAGATACGTCTCATCTCTTCCGACGGAACTATTTACGGAATGTTTACGAGCGTTTCGTCAAGCTCAACTTGGTCCAGAGGAAGGACTACATTTTATATACTCTGACGGATTAAATCATATTTAGACGTGACGCCAGTGTATAAAAATTTTGTATTGCCTCGATGTAGTCTCGGTCTGCGGAAAACTTACGAAAGGCATTTCGACCTTCGCCATTTCAACTTACTCACCTGTCAAGAAGGGTAGCTGCGAAAACCACATTGTTGGATAGACCAAATCTCGGATGCCCAAATCAACTAGCGTCTGCGTTGGCTCGTAGAATAGTATATCGAAGCATGTGAACTGGCCAAAACGAACACCGAAATCCGTTTCGAAAATGCTCAGCTCTACTGTGGCAGTTGTATTCTTCGGTTCACCATACAAATTCCATTTGCGATAGCGTGAAATAACGCGCCCTTCACGATCGAACACCACATTAGTGTTGTAAATATTTAAACCATTGCTAGCGCAGGGACGTGGATCGAGCGCCGTAGTGGAACAATTTTCACGTTCTGTCAAATTGATAACCAGATATTTGCGCGCCTGACGTGCGCTGCACGAGAGTTGTACCAGAAAGTCTGAATAGATGCTGGTGTTGCCGAGCAGACAGGCGGATGTATTGAGCTGCAGATCTGGATCGGGCACATAGGTAGCCGTGTCTATGTTGTTCAAAGTACTCTCCGGAAAGACGATGATGTCGGTGCTTTCAGCATCGGCTGAACTGATTAGCTCCAAAAAGCCGACGAGGTTGTCTTCCAACGAGTTGGATGAGCTAAACTCAACAACGCCGGCAGTGTAGTAGGGAGAAGTGGCATTAGCAACAGCTGGTAGATTAATTGGGCTCTGAAAGTTGATAAGGAAAGCAGTTAGTTAATTGATTTGTCGCCTAACAGACAGACAGACAGTATGTGCAAATAAACAACTATTTAAGTTTAATAACCCTGTTTGTTTTAGAGGAGAGATAAGGCGGTGTTCAACTGTTAATGTAATGGCTGTTTGGAAAAACTAACCTGATTTGTAGTGGGCAGAAGCTGGAATGAGCCAGCAAGGACCAGGAAAAGCTTAGCTGCACTACCGAAGTTGCTGGTAAACATTGGAAGAACACTCGGACGCTGCGTTTCTTATTTCACTCCCTTTCAGATTTTTTCCAGAGGTTTGTGACGAAAACCCCTTTGTAGTTTACGTCCGCAGAATCGACGAACGAATCACCTCAGCTACCAGCGCAACACCGACCAAAGTTTGAATGATGTTTGATCGATTTTGGTGAGTCTTTATAATCACCGCATCGCCGGAAAGCGACTAAACTTTACACATTATTAAGCCATTATATTTAATCTTATCAATTTATCACAATTTTCGTGCAAAATTCTAACTAATCAGCGTGTCGATAGTTGTTTTAGTAGCGCCTTAATCTTTCTGATAAGCCCAGGTAACACAGTAGACTTGTAACATATTTGCAGGCGCCCACCGACAGTTTGATTAACACTGAATGAACAAGTATTTCATTCAAGTGCCATAAAAAGTCATTTCTTTAAAGACGAATTGTATTTAAGGTATTCTCTTATCTCTGTTTGCCAGCTTTTTTTTCTGCCTTTGCTACAAAGTGCCGCATTCCTCTGAGTCGGCTCACTTTACTCACCTCTATTTAAAGCATGTGCTCAGCTGCAGTCTTGCTAGGCATGCTGTAGCAGCAAAATTAAATTTATTATGGCTAAGAAATTGAATTAATAGCCGCACTTGAAGGCGATGAAGGCGTAGCAATGGATAGCTGTTGGACGTTGAGAGGAGATGGTGAGCACTACAGCGAGGATAATATGAAATTTAAAGAGCATAACTGGGTGTACGGCATCCTCGCAAGGCAGGAAAAAGTTTAAGAATCGCTGATTTCATTTTAACTCATTTTATGTTATTAATTTATTGTAACTTTTTTAATTTCATCTGTAGTAGGGATGGGAAAAGCACGCGCGGAATCGATTCTTGACTTCAAAATCGAGTTTCAGGTTTTCCATTCTTAAGGTCCATTAATCACTTCTGATAGTCGACCTTATGACTTCAATTGACTTTCATTTAAATATTTTCAAAAAAACACATTAACATCTAAAAATTAGAAAAAAATTAAATTATAAAAAAAATAAATAAAATAAGTGCCTAAAAATTAAAAAAAAACTTTCTTTTTAAAACAATCGAATCTAAATATTAAATAAAGAAGAAAAAAGTAAAATACGTTTCTAAAAATTAAGTGAAATTTAAAAAAATCCTTTTGGAACAATAATATCTGAAAATTAAAACGAAATTAAATTAAAAATAATTAATTTAAAAAAATTACTTTCCAAAAATAAATGAAATTAAAAATAAAATATGTTTTCTTGATATTCAAACAATAAAATCTACAAATTAAAAGAAAATTACATAAAACAAATTTTAATTCAAGTTAAACAGGCAAAAATATAACATTTAAATTTAAAAAAATCTTTTCAAAAAATAAAATCTTGAAATTAATTAAAATTTTATTTATAAATTTTGATTACAAAAACAAAACGAAAAATATAAAGTAAGTTCCTAAAATTTAAATAAATTAACAAACAAATACACAAAGTACATTTCCAAGAACTAAGTGAAACTAAAAAAGTGAAAAATAAAAAAGTAAAACAAAATTGAATTTTAAGAAATACATGAATTTAAATTTTAAAATAATAAAAAAATAAAATATAGTTAATTTCTACAAATTAAACCAAATTAAAAAAAAAATTATCTTAATAAAAAAATTAGGTACATTAAATAATTTAATTAAAAATAAAGTAAAATCAAATATATCTAAAAATTTAATGAAATTAAAAAATACATGTTTTCTTTTAAAACGATAACATCTAAAACTTAGAAAAAAATTATCTATATTTAAAGAAATTAATTTAAAAAATTCAAAAACAAGTTTATAAAAATAAATGTGATTAAAATTAAATAGTTTTCTTTTTATAGCAATACAATCTAAAGATTAAAAAAAATAAATAAATTAAAAAATTTAAATTTGAATTAATAAAAGAAAAAAATAAATACGTTTCTAAAAATTAAATTAAATTAGACAAAATTTGATTTTTAGAAATTAAAATTAAAAAAGGAAAAACAACTAAACTAAGTTCTCAAAAATTAAATGATTAAATCTGTTGAAAAAAAAATAAAATTTAATCCAATAAATCAATAAATGAAATAAGTTTCTGAAAATTAAATGTTTCTTTTTAGAACAATAGAATTTAAAATTTAAAAGAAAATTTAATTGAAAAAATACATAAAAAAAGTTTCTATAAATTAAATGTAATTGAAAGAATATATATTTTTCTTGTGAAAAAAATAACTAGCGTCTGGTGAATAGCACGCCAGTGCTTTGCTCAAGTGCAAATTTGGCAAAGGATATTTTTTGTCTTTCTTATCTTTCAAACTACTTTTAATACTGCATTTCAACTGTCTTAGCCAGTATTGCCCTCTTAGTCAACTCAGCAAGCACTGTACGAAAATCGTGAAATACAAAGTGTCTACATCTGGTCTTCTCCACTTCCGTATTTTCCAAATGTTATCACAAAGGGTACCTTTTATATATTAAGTATGGTTCTACAAGTGGAATCAACTGTCCTAGCCTAACCTAACTTAACCTAAACTGTTGCTATAAGCGACAAGAAAAAAATCCAGAATAGCAAAAAGAAAGAAATTTGTATTAGAAATTTAGTATTTATTAAGCATAAGCTAAAACCAATTTCATCACAAGTTTCATTTATGCGACTATGCGCTAGTATGTATATATGTATGCGTGTCTGAATAAAAAAAGTGTTAAAGCAATCAACTCAAGTGGGTATTGCACCATTTTCTACAAACATTGCAAAAACTTTTATCAGACATACTAATTGATACTACACATACACAAACGTAATGACTAAAAATACATGTATGTATGTATATGCACATACATATGTAGATATTTATATTCCACATATGCCTTCATTTATAAACATATGTTTGTATGTATCGCACCTAATAAATTCACTTGTCCTGTGTCCCTGCGTCCTAGTCCAAGTCGTGTGGTAGCCCAGTTGGCGCATACAGCTGCCATTTGTCACACTGTTGGATTTAACAAGTTGTTAAGATAAATTTTTTATTAAAAGCGCGCCAGTAAAACGAAAAGTAGCAACACTATACAGGTAAAAGAGTAATTGTTACATTTTATGTGTACATACTATTAGGGTGGTCCAAAGGAAAAAATAATACCCAGATTTTTTGATTAAAAAAATATACATGGGTCCCACATTACATTTTTCGTGGTAGTTAATATTAGAAAATGGTAAATTATGTAAATATTTGGGTATTATTATTCGAAGCCTCCTGAACAGAAACAGAATTTTCCGATCGGAAAATATTGATTTTGAAGAATTCTATACGAAGTATTTTGTCCATACAAAATACAAAATTCTTTATGCTTTACGAATTTCCGAACATCACTTTTATGTGAAAAATACGGGTATTCTTTTTTGCATTAAAAAAAGTCCTAGGGAGTGAAACTTAACATTATAAACTTTTTTTTTGGACTACCGTAATGTACATGCATAAAATAGGTCCCCAAACAGCCCAAAAAATCCAATAGTGAATCCATAGAAAATCGCTGGTATTAAAAAATTATAAAATAAAAAATTATCATTGGAATTCTCCTGTAGAGAAACCGAATTTTCCAATCGAAAAATATTGATTTTCAGGAATTTATACCATTTCTACGAAAAAGTGTTTTTTTTTCATATAGTACATGGACAGCTCTAAATATCATTTTTTTATAAAACAATATGGGTATTATTTTTTCCCCTTAGAAAAAAATCAAAGAGGAGAGCGTTTAAATTTTTTTTAATTCTGTTTGGACCACCCTAATGTGCATGCACACAATAGGTACGGGTATTAAGTGCCAGACTGTGTTATACAGTCAGACTTAGTACCTTTGTGTGTTGGCAAGTGTGTATGCTAGGTTATTTCCAAACTCCTGCTGCAATTTAACTGTGCGCCTGTATGTATGCTTTTGAGATAGTGATTCTAATCACCATAACATTCGGACTCATCTACCGTGCAGTGCTTTTTTATCAAGTGTTCCGCTTATCATCAAAAAATAGTTTATCAAAGTGTATAGTTTACAACTACAATGCCATTTATCTAAGTCCATATGTGAACTTAGTTTAGGCAGGATTGTTTATTTGCGAAACGTAGCATACTTTTGGGCATTTTTTTATTTTATGCATTTTATTAAAGTAATTAACACATTCCACTTTGTTTACATTATGCATAGTTCTAGGCAAAAGTTTTAATATATAGGGTCTACCCACTGAGCTAAGTTCGCAACGTAAACTGTTGTTGCTATTTTTCCACTTTTTCATATGCCAACCCAACAATGTATACGTATTATATTGTTTTGAAGATTACAATACGTTTTGAAATATACTATAATTGAAAACATTTTAAAGTGCTTTTGTAATTAGATTTGCGTGGGAGGTATGCGTTAAAATAAAGCGATTGCGCGCAAGCGTGATTTATGTCCATACATTTTCGTACTACTTCTAATTTTTTCCATAAAAATATATGAGGCTGTACCACTGTGCGTGATGCTGTTCAAATGTTTCTTTGTAGTTTTATTTTATTTATTACATCTTATTTTATTTTTATTTCATTCTGGTTTTTATTTTTTTCTAATGTTTATCACTATCTTTACTTTGTCATTTTTTTTTCTTCTTTTATTTTACCATATTTTCATTTGTTTGCATTTAAATTTGTTTATAACTTATTTTAAATTCACTTTTTTATTCTAATTCCTTGCTTTATTTTATTTCATTTTATTAGATTTCATTTAATTTAAGACTTTTACTTTTTTAATATTTTAATGTTTTATCTTATCTCATTTTAGTTTTATTTCTTGTTTATTTTATTTTTCCTAATAGTTATTTTTCTAAGTATGTACTTTATTTAACAATATTTTTAAATTTTTGTTTCATTTTATTTTTTTATTTTTATTTGTTGTTATTTAATTTTATTTTTACTTTATTTTAAAATGCTTTTCTGATTCAAATTTTTCGCG